GGCTCCCCTCGGCAGTGGACCTCGTCCATCTGCCTGTTCTGCTCCCCACTGTCTCTGGGGAGTCCTCTCACCCCCGCACCTCTGGCCTGTGCGTCTTTTCAAAAATACCCCAGTCACTGCGCGCGTCGGCAGGCTGGTCACTGCCGGCGGCCTCCCACCACAGGCCTCTATCTGGACTCGCTGCACTTGCATCCTTCCCGTCTGTCTCTGCTTTAAAGACAGCTCCACACACGTTCGAACTCCGGTCTCGGGCCAGCAGCCGCTTTCATCCCTCAGGTCTGAACTGAGCGGAACTGCTGGGTCACAGAGGCCCTGTGAGGAGCTTCCGGAGGGGGGCCCTCCTTCAGCTCCTGTCACATCCCCTAGTTTTTTTCCCTGCACGTACACGGTGGTGAGCATCGCTCCCCTGCCCGGCAATGCTCAGGACGCGTGGCCACGCTCCCTGGCCAGCTCCGCGTGTGACAGTGTCAGCTCTTCTGCCCACGGGGGACAGCTCAACGCTGCACGTCAGAATCCTTTCTATATTCTGGGCGCCACCCCTTGGTCAGACACAATTTTCGGGGTCTGTTCTCCCAGTGGTGACTTACCTTTCCACCTGCTTCGTGGGCACAGCCTTAGACCGTGGAAGCAAATATAACCGGACGTTTTAAACACTGATACATCCATGACCAAGTGGAAACAGCAGCACACATCAGACCAAAGTCCCCAAGGAGGCAAACTCAGAGAATTCCAGCAGTTATCTGAGCAACGCTGGTGCCCTCTCTCCCTCATCAAGACTCCCGGGCAGAGGCGGCCCGAACCCCGGGGTGTTTACACTGCGCACATGGAACCCCAGCCTCAGCGAGCCAGACTGCCCTTCAGTGTGACCAATGACCCCCGAAGTGAGGCGGGATCCCCCTGCGGGGGATGGCAGCAGATGGGTTCTCCTCTCCCCCGGTGATGGAAACTGGCACAGCCCTTTAGAGGATTAACTTGGCCCCTCGGCCCAAAGGGACCAGGCGCCCCCACCCCCGTCCGCACCCCAACACTCACGCCAGAGGCTCTGCAGGCCGCAGGGCTGTGGCCAAGCAGCTAAGGCTTTGCAGTCTGTCCAGCAGGACAGGC